TGCCTTGCTCAAGGGCACATCGACAGATTTTTCACCTAGTCGGCTTGGGGATTAGAACCAGCGACCTTTCGGTTACTGGCACAACACTCTTACCCACTAAGCTACCTGCCACACTAGATTAGCCTAGTGACAAGACACTTGCAAGTTAAAAATAACACACTAATCTGAGGAAGACACACAGGAGACACACACACACACACACACACACACACACACACACACACACACACACACACACACACACACAGACACACAGACACACACACACACACAGAGAGAGAGAGAGAGAGAGATGCATGCACACACACACTGATACACTGATACAGCCCTTAGTGACTCCAGTTGTTGACTTTGATCCTGGTGAAGGGCTTCACAGAAGGGAGGGACGGTAGAGAAGGGGTAGCCTGGAGAACACAAACACACACACACACACACATAGTAAACTTTCCCAGGGAGGGAAAAGACTGTATCGGTCATGTTTTCAGATAAGAGGATGACAATATTGTACATTCAGATACTGGAAAATAGTGGAGACACTGTTGAGTTTTGCTTCCCTTGTCACTCAGCTTTCTAGGGAAACATTGTTACGAGACTGGCGTCAGAACAGAGGACCAATCAGAGAGCTACTGTATGACAGGCCATCACTCAATAACATCCTGTATCTTTCCGTAATGATGCACAGATGATGCAATCTCTATTGCACCCCTCCCACCTGGACAAGAGGAACACCTACGTGAGAATGCTATTCATTGACTACAGATCAGCATTCAACACCATAGTGCCCTCAAAGCTCATCACTAAGCTAAGGATCCTGGGACTAAACACCTCCCTCTGCAACTGGATCCTGGACTTCCTGACGGGCCGCCCCCAGGTGGTAAGGGTAGGTAACAACACATCTGCCACACTGATCCTCAACAGGGGGGCCCCTCAGGGGTGCGTGCTCAGTCCCCTCCTGTACTCCCTGTTCACCCATGACTGCATGGCCAGGCACGACTCCAACACCATCATTAAGTTTGCCGACGACACAACAGTGGTAGGCCTGATCACCGACAACGATAAGACAGCCTATAGGGAGGTCAGAGACCTGGCCGTGTGGTGCCAGGACAACAACCTCTCCCTCAACGTGACCAAGACAAAGGAGATGATTGTGGACTACAGGAAAAAAAAGAGGACTGAGCACGCCCCCATTCTCATTGACGGGGCTGTAGTGGAACAGGTTGAGAGCTTCAAGTTCCTTGGTGTCCACATCACCAACTAACTATCATGGTCCAAACACACCAAGACAGTCGTGAAGAGGGCACGACAAAGCCTATTCCCCCTCAGGAGACTGAAAAGATTTGGCATGGGTCCTCAGATCCTCAAAAAATTCTACAGCTGCACCATCGAGAGCATCCTGACTGGTTGCATCACCGCCTGGTATGGCAACTGCTTGGCCTCCGACCGCAAGGCACTACAGAGGGTAGTGCGTACGGCCCAGTACATCACTGGGGCCAAGCTTCCTGCCATCCAGGACCTCTATACCAGGCGGTGTCAGAGGAAGGCCCTCAAAATTGTCAAAGACTCCAGCCACCCTAGTCATAGACTGTTCTCTCTGCTACCACACGGCAAGCGGTACCGAAGTGCCAAGTCTAGGTCCAAAAGACTTCTCAACAGCTTCTACCCCCAAGCCATAAGACTCCTGAACAGCTAATCATGGCTACCCGGACTATTTGCACTGCCCCCCCACCCCATCCTTTTACGCTGCTGCTACTCTGTTAATTATTTATGCATAGTCACTAACTCTACCCACATGTACATATTACTTCAACTACCTCAACTAGCCGGTGCCCCCGCACATTGACTCTGCACCGGTACCCCCCTGTATATATAGCCTCCCTACTGTTATTTTATTTTACTTTTGCTCTTTTTTTTCTAACACTTTTTTTATTGTTGTTTTATTTTTACTTTTTTTGTTAAAAATAAATGCACTGTTGGTTAAGGGCTGTAAGTAAGCATTTCACTGTAATGTCTGCACCTGTTGTATTTGGCGCATGTGGCCAATAAAATTTGATTTGATTTGATTTAATTATATTTACACCAGTTAAGGACAAAACTCAATGGAGCTGAAAGTTTGAAATATGTAGCACATTGTGTTGAAATTGTCTCGACTTTGCATTCAAGGCCAGTCAGTTTCTCCTTGTAGAATAGAGAATAGAGAAAGGAGGATTAGGAGAAGCGGTCTTCACTATAAATCACAAAATTTAACAGAACCTTATATGGTATCTTTACGACCTTCGCTGTATTTAATAACTGTATTGTTAGAAGTATTGGCCAAGAAGTTTGGCCTTGTGTGAGGGCAGAGCGACGTCTGTTCCTGGAGATTGCCACTGGAACTCAGTAAGAATTATACAGAACATTGTCTCTCTATGGCAGGGGTATTCAAATCTTACCCTACAAGGTCCGGAGTACTGCTGGTTTTCTGTTCTACCTGAATTGCACCCACATGGTGTCCCAGATCTAAATCACTGTGTGATTAGAGGGGAAGTATGAGCAAAGAGTGGAACTGGCATCCAGATTTGAAATGGAGTCTTCTATGGTCTTCACTAAATAAATCATGACTGCATTCTTGTTTATTTACCCAGACAGTCACTCAGTAACAATTGCCACTGCTTTCCAGGGAGGTATTATCTCATTGTCAAAGAGCTTGTCCTGGAGGAGAGCGGCACTCAGTGATGGTGTCGTAACTCTCTGGTGTCCCCTACAATGGATTGTCATTTGTTGCATAAAGACAAATTCACAAGACTTGGACACTTAACGCCACAGATCTTGACATGTTGACACAGAGGCATTAACCTATAATATACATCCTTGTTATAAGACAATGAGGTATTATACAGGACTGCAGGCTTTAGTAAAAAGTGTTACAACAGTAGACTATGTTAAAGTATAATTAAACAAATTGACATAAACAAAGTGTTCCCAAACTGATAATCTTTTATTTTAAATTTTGTCTTTTTTTCCCCCCCACATATTAAAATAGATCAACTCTATATACAATGAATGTCTTTACAATATGTGGTCCTTTCCGAAATAAGGACACAATCTAAAGCACTTAACCAACAGAATTCAAATAAATTAAATTCATATTAACTTAGCGTTCACTTTGCACCAGGGCTAGGGGTCAGTGTGGCAGCTTTGGACTACAGATAGTCGAGCCCTCAAGGAGTAGGCAGCAGGGTGGGGTCAGGGGGGCAGCTTTGGACTACAGATAGTCGAGCCCTCAAGGAGTAGGCAGCAGGGTTGGGGTCAGTGTGGCAGCTTTGGACTACAGATAGTCGAGCCCTCAAGGAGTAGGTAGCAGGGTTGGGGTCAGGGTGGCAGCTATGGACTACAGATAGTCGAGCCCTCAAGGAGTAGGCAGCAGGGTTGGGGTCAGGGTGGCAGCTTTGGACTACAGATAGTCGAGCCCTCAAGGAGTAGGCAGCAGGGTTGGGGTCAGGGTGGCAGCTATGGACTACAGATAGTCGAGCCCTCAAGGAGTAGGCAGCAGGGTTGGGGTCAGGGTGGCAGCTATGGACTACAGATAGTCGAGCCCTCAAGGAGTAGGCAGCAGGGTTGGGGTCAATTCCATTTCAAGCCAGGTAGCCTAAAAGTTGCCCCTAACCACTGATACAGCGTCAGATATTTTTCAGTCCAACCAATGTTAAAGTATAGGATTTGGGGTGGGAATCTGTGCCCAAGGGAAACTTCAGTCATGGATGAGAAGTATTGTGGCAAATATCTGCTGTATTAGCACCTTTATCACATAGAGCCATACATATGGTATATTATATGTCCATATATATGGCTGTTTTACCTGTATCAATATGAATCCACACTATGCAACACTGAACTCTAGAGGCCATTACAACTCCCTACACCAGGATGTGGGTTTACCACTATAGCACTAAATAGAATACCCTTTTCACACTATTGTGCCAACGTGGACTGTACTGTGGAGGCTTGGGAATTATATTTTCACATTGCCCTGTACAGCACCGTTCCAGCAACCGTGGTGGATGTGTAACCAGCACAGCACAGGCTCGGCTCAGTGGTGTGAAAAGGGTACAGGAGTGAACACGTCCTAGGAGCACCACATTCAGTTCTATTATTATGAAAATGTTCATATTATTGTCACTGGCATTTGACAAAGTACATTAACCAAAAAAACAAATAATATACTTAATAAATTAACAGTTAAGCTATACATCGTTTTTGACACGTTCCATTGAAACTCTGGCTGGTTAGCTTGGCAAAGCTTTGCGGAACAAACACTAAAATAAAGAACATTGTCTTCCATTGTTTGTTGCCGTAACGTCATATTTAACGGCTAAGGTTGTGCCCTTAAAGCGATTGTAGTCTTAGTATTAACTACTACATTTAACAGGACTGGAGGTAGCAACCAATCCAAGAGCAGTAGCTATTTTACAGCTACCAATCCCCAAATTAAAACATAAACACTAAACATCAAAAGAAAATGTATTTATATTAAAAGGGCCCAACAAAAAAAAACTCTGAAAATATATATTTTTGTACAATTCAAATTGCCACACGTCATATAAAGAAAGTCTTTGACATCCTGTCTAAGTGAAATCCTTCGGTCTAAAGATCAAATCTCTTTTCCCTTCCTGTCAAACTAGAGCAGACTTCCAAATGGAACCCAAGAAGATCTGAGAGGTATTGAAAAGTAACGCAATATTCTCTGAGCTACAAGAGTGCCTTGGGCGTATTTCCTAGGCTTCCATTTGGAATTCAGTGGGTAGCCTGCCATGTCCAACAACACCCTCAAGTCATCGGTCCTTCACTATACCATCTCCTCACACCTGGCTTGCTTCACACATGATCTTTTTATTTAATCTTTCCTCTATGTGCATTTCAATTCATATTCATAGGGGAGTTGGTTCCTCCAGCTAAAGCGGCGGATGGGGTGTCCCTTTTGCCACTTCCTGTTTTGCCACTTCCTGGTTGTCATGTTCTGTTTAGTCGCTCATAGACAGGAAGAGCTGGTCCTCCAGGTCCGAGGTGTCTGTACTGCCGTCTGAGCTGTCGGAACTGTCAGCTGTATGGGAAGACAGACAGGGAGATAAAAATAAGTTCACGGGGTGTGTGTTTGTGTACTTAATAACTTACCTTTACGGTTTGAAACCGTACTAATTGTTTTACCCCAAAATCAATTGATCAATCAATGAATTTGACCTAATCCTCTTGGTTCCTGGGGAAACAGGGCCTGTACTAAACATCTCCAATGCTGCCGGTCTTGGGCTGCTTCTAGACATGACTGGTGGATGTTTGGTGTGCGTGTGTTAAACGATTGTCCCAAGAAGACTCACATCCCAGGTCAATCTCAGCATCATTGTTAGAGTCTTCCTCATCCTCATCGTCAGCATTGAGCAGCCGGGCCACCGCGTCATCATCCGAGGGAGACAAATCGTTTCCTCCATCCTCCTTCTCCGTCTCCTCCCTCGATCAGCTCGGCCAATAGCGGGTCTGTATCCATGTCATCATCGTCATCATCATCATCATCATCAGAATCATCATCGTCTTGATCCTCCTGGTGGGGGGATATTCAGACACATTACCTCAATACAAGGTGAAGCAAGATGAAACATTCAAAAAACACACATTTAGACAACATACTTCGATACATTTGAACACATTAACACAAGGGCAAACAGTTGGGAGAGGCTGGGGCAGGTGTTTTAGTGATGGGCTAGGATAGGAACAACGTTCTGGTGTGCAACCCCTGTGGGTCCTCAGAACCTAGATGGAAGACCACTGGGCAATAGGGTCCAGCAATGGAGAGACTGGATATTAGAGATAAGGAATACTAGGGGAGAGTTGATATAGAGAAGAAACTAAAGTTATACTGAGTTTTGAGAAGAGACTAAAGTTACAGTTTAGTATAGAGAAGAAACTAAAGTTAGACTGAGTTTAGTTTAGAGAAGCATCTCTTACCTGTTCTTCATCATCCTCTCTCTCCTCAGCTAGTCTCCGTCTCCCCACTTCATACAGGCGACACACTGTGTCCACGTTGACGGAGTCCTGGTTCTATAGACATTAGAAGAATATACACCTTGAGATGAACTGCTGACTAACAGAGAGGACTAAACTTCCCACATTCTACTCTAGTTTCTTTTTGGGACACACGAAGAAGAGAGTAGAACAGAGAGCAATAGCATGGCATCATCAGGGAGAATTGCACCACCCAAACCCTAACCCATAACCCTAATCACCACCCATAACCCCAACCACCACCCAAACCCTAACCCATAACCCCAACCACCACCAGCCACCCCAAAACCCAAACCACCACCCGAACACCAACCACCCAAACCCAACCCAGAACCCAACCACCACCACACCCAGAAACCCCAACCACCACCCGAAACACCACCAAACCCCAACCCAATAAACCCACCACCCCACACCCAAACCCCAAACCACCCCCCCGAACCAACCACCCCAAACCCAAAAAAACCAAACCCCAACCACCAAACCCAAACCAAAACCCCAAACACCACCCCCAACCAAAACCCCCAACCCACCCAACAAAAAAAAACCCCAACCCAAACCCAAAAAAACCCCCCCAAAACCAAAAAAAAAAACCAAAAAAAACCCCAAAAAACCCCCAAAACCACCAACCCCAACCCCAACCCCCCCCCCCCAAAAACCCCCCCCAAAAACCCCCCCCCCAAACCCAACCCCAACCCCAAAACCCCACCCGAACCAACCAACCAAACACCCCAAAAAAAAACCCCCAAAACCCAAACCCACCACCCAACCAACCCCCCAACCCAACCCCCAACCAAACCCCACCCAACCCCAACACCACCCAAAACCCCAACCCCAAAACCCCCAACCCCAAACCCAAACTAACCCAAACCCCAAACCACCACCCAACCCAACCAAACCACACCAACAAACCCAAACCACCAACCACCACCCAACCACACCATAACCCAAACCAACCCAACACACCCAACAAACCCCAACACAACAAACCAAACCAAACCTAACACCAAACCAAACCCACCCAACCCAACACCAAACCCCAACCAACCACCTAACCCCAACAACCCTAAAACCCCAAACCAAACCCAACACCAACAAAACCCAAACTAACCCCAAACAAACACCCAAACCACAACCCAAACCCAAACCAACACCCAAACACCAAACCAAACCACACCACCCAACACCCAACCAAACCCAACCACCACCAAAACCCAACCCATACCCCCACCCCACCCACCCGACCCCCCAACCCAAACCCACCAACCCCACCACCCCAACCCTAACCCCAACCACACCACCCCACCACCACACGAACCCCAACCACCACCCTAACCCATAACCCCAACCACCACCAAACCCAACCCAAACCCCCACACCCAACCCCACTACACCCCACCCTACCCCCAACCCCAACCAACCACCCAACCACCTAACCCCACCCAACCCAAACCCCAACCACCACCAACCACCACCCCTCCCCAACCACACACCACCCAAACCCAAACCACCACCCTAACATAAAACCCCAACCACCACCCTACCATAACCCCAACCGCCCCCAACCATAACCCCAATACCACCCCAACCCATAACCCCAATACCACCCCAACCCATAACCCCAACCCATAACCCCAATCACCACCCCAACCCATAACCCCAACCCATAACCCCAATCACCACCCTAACCATAAGTAAGAATATGGGACACACACAATACAGCTCATTCTTCCTACATGATTTCAACCATATATACTGATGAAATGTTCAAAGCAGAGATAGAAGATTTAACTTGGAATATCAGCAATGGAAATAGAACTAGGACGTTTACCTCAATGACAGCCAGGTAGCAGTCCCTGGTGTCAGTACACAGGTCAAAAATATTCCTCTTCACATCCACAGTAGCTGAGGAAGAACATACAACCAGAAGTTAATTTCAACCAACATGCCACTACCCACGAAACAAAAACCCTATGCTTGACCTGTGACCTTTAGGTCGTACCGATGGGTTTGTAGTCGGTGGCGTCAAAGGTTCTGAAGGAGGAACCAAAGGGACTCTTCATCTGTCGGTCCATCACATCATCCTCTTCATCAGCCTGCAGCATGGCTCCGTACATGACGGTGGCGTTGTTGTTAAACACCCCTCTACACTGGTCCAGGGCAGGCACAGTGTGGAGGAGATGGAACGTTCTCAGGTCCCACTGGCCTAGCTGTCAAGGTTATCGTCACTTCCAAACAGCTTCAATCACACATCAATGTTCACCCTGGGGCTGTTTTTTACTGACATGACGTGGATAAACTCCCACCCTAGTTATAAAGGCAACAATTAGATCCCCCCCTCTAAGTTTATACACATCTGGCGCTACTCACAATAAAAGCAACAGGATGCATTTTTACAGATATATATATATATTTCTAATTAGGTAGATTTGCTCTGTTAATAAACGCGAGCATTACATTTACTGTAGTGAGTTGCGACTGTTCTTTTTGTTAATAAAGTTGTTCATACCCTTATTGTCAGTAATGTTACATGTTAACCAAACAGGAAGGAATAAGGATACAATCTCTGTGTTGATGATGACCTCGAGGCGGTTGGGATGGAACACGCCGCTGATGTTCATATTGAACTTGTCAAACTTGTGGATGGCCCGAGCAGAGCGCACGTCCCACATGACTCCGTCATTCAGCACCAGGTCGTCGCTAGGGTTAAAAGTTGCACAATTCCTCTTGTAGTTGTTGGCCAGGCCAGGGTCATTCAGGGTCAGCAGCTTCTGGCCTGACTGGATGTCATAGATCTTGGACAGGACACAAAAACAAGGTGAAATTAACATCCTAAACTTGAGAAAGCCGGTGCCGGGCAAAAACTACCATGGATAAAGAAATGAGAGACCTGCACACTGCTCGTAGGAAGTACTGGGAAGCAGCATTACACCGTGAGTTCAAAGTATAAGGTCAGCAACAAGTGACAGAAAACACACGGTGTAAGAAGAGGTGGAGAGCAGACTTACATGAGCTACTTGGTCCTTGGTGCCAATCACTCGGTCTTGTGACAGTTTACTGAACTCAACGTAATGGTCGTCCAAAAAGGAATGCCTGAAACACAGAAAGAGAATCATGATGGCGGTTTGTTTGTGAAAGTGTCTAAAGAAATGGCTAACCATACCAGTCAATGACTAACCATACCAGTCAATGGCTAACCATACCAGTCAATGGCTAACCATACCAGTCAATGGCTAACCATACCAGTCAATGGCTAACCATACCAGTCAATGACTAACCAGACCAGTCAATGGCTAACCAGACCAGTCAATGACTAACCAGACCAGTCAATGACTAACCAGACCAGTCAATGACTAACCAGACCAGTCAATGGCTAACCAGACCAGTCAATGACTAACCAGACCAGTCAATGACTAACCAGACCAGTCAATGACTAACCAGACCAGTCAATGACTAACCAGACCAGTCAATGACTAACCAGACCAGTCAATGACTAACCAGACCAGTCAATGACTAACCAGACCAGTCAATGACTAACCAGACCAGTCAATGACTAACCAGACCAGTCGATGACTAAGCAGTTCAGACTACGGCACAGAGTGTGACTAACTTCATCTGGAAGACGGACTGCATGCTCCAGAGAGCTGACAGAGGAACACCCCACGAGGCAGACGTCAGCAGCAGAGAACCGTCCTAAAACACACACACAGGAGAGAAGTGTTGGAAGAAGAAACTCGGGGGGGGGGGGGGGGAAGCATACTGCCAGTCTGCCACTGATAGTTATAATACTATTGAGGCCTGCTACAGTGATTACTCCTCCAGTCCTGTGGTGGTCTGCTACAGTGATTACTCCTCCAGTCCTGTGGTGGTCTGCTACAGTGATTACTCCTCCAGTCCTGTGGTGGTCTGCTACAGTGATTACTCCTCCAGTCCTGTGGTGGTCTGCTACAGTGATTACTCCTCCAGTCCTGTGGTGGTCTGCTACAGTGATTACTCCTCCAGTCCTGTGGTGGCCTGCTACAGTGATTACTCCTCCAGTCCTGTGGTGGTCTGCTACAGTGATTACTCCTCCAGTCCTGTGGTGGTCTGCTACAGTGATTACTCCTCCAGTCCTGTGGTGGTCTGCTACAGTGATTACTCCTCCAGTCCTGTGGTGGTCTGCTACAGTGATTACTCCTCCAGTCCTGTGGTGGTCTGCTACAGTGATTACTCCTCCAGTCCTGTGGTGGTCTGCTACAGTGATTACTCCTCCAGTCCTGTGGTGGTCTGCTACAGTGATTACTCCTCCAGTCCTGTGGTGGTCTGCTACAGTGATTACTCCTCCAGTCCTGTGGTGGTCTGCTACAGTGATTACTCCTCCAGTCCTGTGGTGGTCTGCTACAGTGATTACTCCTCCAGTCCTGTGGTGGTCTGCTACAGTGATTACTCCTCCAGTCCTGTGGTGGCCTGCTACAGTGATTACTCCTCCAGTCCTGTGGTGGCCTGCTACAGTGATTACTCCTCCAGTCCTGTGGTGGCCTGCTACAGTGATTACTCCTCCAGTCCTGTGGTGGTCTGCTACAGTGATTACTCCTCCAGTCCTGTGGTGGTCTGCTACAGTGATTACTCCTCCAGTCCTGTGGTGGTCTGCTACAGTGATTACTCCTCCAGTCCTGTGGTGGTCTGCTACAGTGATTACTCCTCCAGTCCTGTGGTGGTCTGCTACAGTGATTACTCCTCCAGTCCTGTGGTGGTCTGCTACAGTGATTACTCCTTCAGTCCTGTGGCGGTCCTCATGAGAGCCAGTTTCATCATAGCGCTTGATGGTTTTTTTGCGACTGCACTTGAAGAAACTTTCAAAGTTCTATGAAATGTTCCGTATTGACTGACCTTCATGTCTTAAAGTGATGATGGACTGTCGTTTCTCTTTGCTTATTTGAGCTGTTCTTGCCATAATATGGACTTGGTCTTTTACCAAATAGGGCTATCTTCTGTATACCCCCCCTCTACACAACTGATTGGCTCAAACGCATTAAGAAGGAAAGAAATTCAACAAATTATCTTTTAAGAAGGCACAACTTAATTTAAATGCATTCATCAAGGGTGGCTATTTGAAGAATATAAAATATCAACTATATTTAGATTTGTTTAACACTTTTTTGGTTACTACATGATTCCATATGTGTTATTTCATAAATAATAATATAATATGCCATTTAGCAGACGCTTTTATCCAAAGCGACTTACAGCCATGTGTGCATACATTTTTACGTATTGGTGGTCCCGGGGATCGAACCCACTACCCTGGCGTTACAAGCGCCATGCTCTACCAATTGAGCTACAGAGGACCACATTTCATAGTTTTGATGTCTTCACTATTATTCTACAATGTAGAAAAAATAGTAAAAATAAAGAAAAACCCTTGAATGAGTGGGTGTCCCCAAACATTTGACTGGTAGTGTATGTCCCTCTCCTCACAAAGAAAAGGTTTGCCTCAAGGACCCATAAGGCCTTGCCATGATGGAAGTTTAGAAAAACACTTCAAACGCTACTCATCTAGCACCCGAAAGACAGATCTGCACTCAACTTGATACACGGCATGTATGGACCAAGGTCTCTCAAAACGTTTTTACAGACTAGCATGGCAAAAAAAAAAACAATGGCTGCTACTGACCAATAAACATTCACGTGGGCGTTGTCAGACACGGATATTCGCATTGTAACCAAACTTGGTACACGTTCCAAACACTGTAAGGACCCAACACATGAAAGCACATTCAGATTCACCACACGGTGGCGCTGTAACGGGCACATGTATATCTCTTGACCTGTTTGACTGTGATGAAATTTGGTTCAGTTTGGCCGCTGTTGAACAGGAAAAATCATTCATGCAAGCTCATTGCGGCCATATTGTTTGAGCAAGAGTCTTGGAAAACGGGGTTAGGGTTCGAAGATGTGCATCCATAGATGCTATGTGGCAAATTTGGTGCCGAACGGTCCTTCGGTTCTGGAGAAGAAGACATTTAAAGTAGTCGACATCATTAAAAACAGTCAAATATACATCAAAAGCATTTTGCATGATCAGTTTGGTTTTGAGTTTTGGTATTTGGCTACAATGGTAACGTACAGAAGTAGCTCATCCTAGGCTGATGTGTCCAATTTGTCCTGATGGTGGCAAAGTGGGCCCACAGCTTGAACCCCGGCATTTCTGCTAGTTATGTCACAAGTGATTGAAAATACAAAAACTTCGAAAGCTCACGCCCCTCACCCCTTTTCCGAGCTAGTCCTGAAATTCGGTACATAGGTTCCTCTCCTCAAAAGGAACAAATTTGCCTCAAGGTGGGGGGGGGGGGGGGGGGGGGGGGGATAGGATACAGTTACATATCGGGATATTTTTATTATTTTTAATTTTTACTTACTTTTTCTCCCCAATTTCGATCGTCTCATCGCTGCAACTCCCCAACGGGCTCGGGAGAGGCAAAGGTGGAGTCATGCGTCCTCCGAAACATGACCCGCCTAACCGCACTCCTTAACACCCGCCAGCTTAACCCGGTAGCCAGCCATATCAATGTGTCGGAGGAAACACCGTTCAACTGGCGACCGGGGACAGCCTGCAGGTACCCGGCCCGCCACAAGGAGTCGCTAGGGCGCGATGAGCCAAGTAAAGCCCCCCCCCCCCGGCCAAACCCTCCCCTAACCCGGACGACGCTGGGCCAATTGTGCGCCGTCCTATGGGACTCCCGGCCACGGCTGGTTGTGGCGCAGCCTGGGAATGAACCTGGGTCTGTAGCGACGCCTCTAGCACTGCCTTAGACCGCTGCGCCACTCGGGAGGCCCTTGGGATATTATCTTTGACGATATATCGTAAAGTATCGTTTTGACAATATCACAATATAATTTTTGCGCTCGTTGGCTATACCTGCGCCACAACTCCAGTATTTTTCCTTTATAGCTTGTTCTCCATCTTCTTTTTAAAGAGGGAGCCAATTTTTTTCCCAGCAATTTTTTTTCTCCATAACTGATCAAAACTTGTTTTCTCATGGCTCTAGCTTGTTCCTCTGCAGCAATATGAGGAGCAATATTTGGATCCACGAATCACAATAAAAATCACAGTATCAAATTGCAATACATATAGAATCGTAATACATATCGTATCGGCACCAAAGTACCATGATAATATCGTATCATCAGGTCCCTGGCAATTCCCAGCCCTGTCATGAAAAATTGTCCAAAATACATATTGCATGACCCGTTTGATTTTGAGTTCTGATATTTGGCAAACGTGGCAAGAAGTATACGTTATCCTGATGGCTAATTGCAGCTATATTTGTAGATGTAGTAGTAGTAGTAGATTATTACTATTGATCGGTGATGGTTCCAGGTGAGTGACCGCTGTAGCCATCCTCCTCCTGACCACTCTGATCTATCCATCCATCCATCCATCCATCCAATCTACATACCCGTGAGGGCTCCAGGTGAGTGATGGCTGAAGTATGACAGCTGTAGCTAGCCTCCTCCTGTCCGCTGAACACGTTATAGAGCTTCAGGTGTCCTGTATACGTCCCCAGCATCAGGAAACGCTCGCGGGCTGAGAAGGCACAGCAGGTGAAACCACTGTCATCCTCCTCAGCCTCCCTGAACACTGAGATGGGCCGGAACCTGGGGAGAAAGACATCATGAAGGGCTCAAGCTAAAGAGCTACAGAAGGAGAAGAGACGGAGGCTTAACGCAAAACCTGAGAGGCATCAGGAAGAGCTACAGAAAGAGACGAGACGGAGGCTTAACGTAAAACCTGAGGGGCATCAGGAAGAGCTACAGAAAGAGACGAGACGGAGGCTTAACGTAAAACCTGAGGGGCATCAGGAAGAGCTACAGAAAGAGAAGAGACGGAGGCTTAACGTAAAACCTGAGAGGCATCAGGAAGAGCTACAGAAAGAGACGAGACGGAGGCTTAACGTAAAACCTGAGGGGCATCAGGAAGAGCTACAGAAAGAGACGAGACGGAGGCTTAACGTAAAACCTGAGAGGCATCAGGAAGAGCTACAGAAAGAGACGAGACGAAGGCTTAACGTAAAACCTGAGGGGCATCAGGAAGAACTAGAGAAAGAGACGAGACGGAGGCTTAACGCAAAACCTGAGAGGCATCAGGAAGAGCTACAGAAAGAGAAGAGACGGAGGCTTAACGTAAAACCTGAGAGGCATCAGGAAGAGCTACAGAAAGAGACGAGACGAAGGCTTAACGTAAAACCTGAGAGGCATCAGGAAGAACTACAGAAAGAGAAGAGACGGAGGCTTAACGTAAAACCTGAGAGGCATCAGGAAGAGCTACAGAAAGAGACGAGACGAAGGCTTAACGTAAAACCTGAGAGGCATCAGGAAGAACTACAGAAAGAGAAGAGACGGAGGCTTAACGTAAAACCTGAGGGGCATCAGGAAGAGCTACAGAAAGAGACGAGACGAAGGCTTAACGTAAAACCTGAGAGGCATCAGGAAGAACTACAGAAAGAGAAGAGACGGAGGCTTAACGTAAAACCTGAGAGGCATCAGGAAGAGCTACAGAAAGAGACGAGACGGAGGCTTAACGTAAAACCTGAGAGGCATCAGGAAGAGCTACAGAAAGAGAAAGTAAAGCAGGGTATCTAACAAGGAGACACTGGCCGTGGCCTAAATCTGGCTTGTAGACTACTTCCTTAAACTGCATACTGTGTAATAATCGTACTACATACCATTTAGAATGTACTGTTTAGTAAAAACCAATGCAGTAAGCAACAAATATCAGCATAGTAGGCTCCTCCTACTGAGAATGCTTAATCTAATGCGCAACTGCGTTGATTCCCTCCATTGGATCATTTTTTGGTACAGCGCATCCCCTCAGCTGTTGTCAGACCAGACGTGGATCTGGAAAGTTCTCTTCCTCAATAGTCTTAGGTGAAGGGGACTAGATGAAAAGCCTAAAGGAGTATGACATCCTGGCTGCATCTCAATAGTTTTACAGTGTCTTCTCCTCCTTTGAAGGAGGTGAGGAAATGAATGTAGCCACTTCAAGACAACTGAAATGAACCCGAAGACAGAGGCCTGGACGTAATGCGGGCCCATTCCGAGGACAGGTGACGCCTACCTGCTGAAGATGAGGTGTCTGTCCAGGCAGCCCCCGTCCACCCCTCCATGTTTCGGATACAGCACCCTGCTGGTCAGCCTGGAGGTGATATTAGTAGGGGCCTGGCGTCTCTGCTTGGGCTCTGGGCACTGGTGGGGTGTGAACAGGGAGAAGGGAGGGCAGGTAGTCACTGGGTTGCTACACCTGAAATAAAGAAATACATCAGAAATAAAGTAAATAAAAGCATTTGTTGTTAAATTGACTTGCTTAGTTTAAATAAACGTAAAATAAAATTGTAACAAACGTAAAATAAATGAATAAAATCAAATTTTATTGGTCGCGTACACATATTCTTTAGGTGTAGCGAAATACTTATGCTCCAACAGTGCAGTAATACCTAACAATACACACAAATCCCAAAAATAAAAGGAATTACTAAATATATACATATTAGAACGAGCAACGTCAGAGTCCGAAATATACATATATAAACTCAGCAAAAAAAGAAACGTCCCTTTTTCAGGACCCTGTCTTTCAAAGATAATTAGTGAAAATAACTTCACAGATCTTCATTGTAAAAGGTTTAAACACTGTTTCCCCATGCTCGTTCAATGAACCATAAACAATTAATGAACATGCACCTGTGGAACGGTCGTTAAGACACCAACAGCTTACAGACGGTAGGCAATTAAGGTCACAGTTATGAAAACTTAGGACACTAAAGAGGCCTTTCTACTGACTCTGAAAAACACCAAAAGAAAGATGCCCAGGGTCCCTGCTCATCTGCATGAACGTGCCTTGGGCATGCTGCAAGGAGGCATGAGGACTGCAGATGTGGCCAGGGCAATAAATTGCAATGTCCGTACTGTGAGACGCCTAAGACAGCGCTACAGGGAGACAGGACGGACAGCTGATCGTCCTCGCAGTGGCAGACCACGTGTAACAACACCTGCACAGGATCAGTACATCCGAACATCACACCTGCGGGACAGGTACAGGATGGCAACAACAACTGCCCGAGATACACCAGGAACGCACAGTCCCTCCATCAGTGCTCAGACTGTCCGCAATAGGCTGAGAGAGGCTGGACTGAGGGCTTGTAGGCCTGTTGTAAGGCAGGTCCTCACCAGACATCACTGGCAACAACATCACCTATGGGCACAAACCCACCGTCGCTGGACCAGACAGGACTGGCAAAAAGTGCTCTTCACTGACGAGTCGCGGTTTTTTTCTCACCAGGGGTGATGGTCGGATTCGCGTTTATCGTTGAAGAAATGAGTGTTACACCGAGGCCTGTACTCTGGAGCGGGATGTCAGTGTTCTGCCATGGCCAGCGAAGAGCCCGGATCTCAATCCCATTGAGCACGTCTGGGACCTGTTGGATCGGAGGGTGAGGGCTAGGCCCATTCCCCCACAGAAATGTCCAGGAACTTGCAGGTGCCTTGGTGGAAGTGTGGGGTAACATCTCACAGCAAGAACTGGCAAATCTGGTGCAGTCCATGAGGAGGAGATGCACTGCAGTACTTAATGCAGCTGGTGGCCACACCAGATACTGACTGTTACTTTTGATTTTGACCCCCCCCCCCCCCCCCCCGCCCGCCCTTTGTTCAGGGACACATTATTCCATTTCTGTTAGTCACACGTCTGTGGAACGTGTTCAGTTTATGTCTCAGTTGTTGACAGTGAGAGGACGTTTCTTTTTTTTGATGAGTTTATGTATATGATGGTGTGTCAGCATAAATGTAAAATAAAATGTTGAATAAATGTTAAATAAATGTCTTCAAACCTGGCATGCTGCTCCCTGAGGTATTCTGTGATGATGCTGTCGAGGGCAGGCGGGGAGGGCAGGTGTCTGTCAAGCTGTTTCTTCATGGCAGGGCTCTGGCTGAACGCTCCGTGGTCCGACTTCTGTCTCAGCACACTGGAAGGCCGCTTCCCACTGCTGCCACCAACGCTGCAGAGTTCAGCTCCAGGGCTACAGGAGACAGAGGAGCGCTCCCGCGTGAACAGGATACGCCCAATCTGGGGCGAACCAATGGGAGGTGGGCCGTGGGGGGTGGAAGGAGGGAGAGAGGAAGAGGAGGAGGAGGGGCGTGGCGTCTGTGTATGGACCAAAGAAGACGAAGATGATGATGGGGTCACTGCAGCGAGGCGAGCAGCCGCTCCCACTCCTCCGTTGGCCATGCCCCTTGGGGTTCTGGGTAATACAGCGGACGAAGAGATGGGGGGAGGAGCTACATAGACCGCCGGGAAGAGCGAGGCGGAGGAGGAGAGTGGGCCGGAGGGGAGATCAGCCTCCTTGGTGAGGGCTGAGGCTGTGTCCAGGAGTCCTTTAGCCACCAGGTGGTTCCTGATGAGCAGCAACAGCTCCTTCTCAGGAAAGGATATACGGGACTGGGCCACAACGTTAGCCCTCTGGAGCCGGGCCAAAGACACATCTGTCCCTATCAACAGGGGTTTACCTGAGGGAAGAAGAGGCATTATGAAAAGGAGTTTACCTGAGGGAAGCAGAGGCATTATGGAAAGGAGTTTACCTGAGGGAAGCAGAGGCATTATGGAAAGAAGTTTACCTGAGGGAAGCAGAAGCATTATGGAAAGACACCTTTTTGTCTTAGTTGTTTATCCTACCGTTCATTTGATCAGGTGCCGGGACAATAAAATGAACACACAGACCAAACTCTTTGGTCCTTTAAAAACCTGCTGTATGTAAAACTGTGTGTGTGCTATAGCTTAGGAAATAAATACATGCGACACTGGCCGACAACATCATGGATGTTTGTTTTCAACACTGGGGCTGTTTTCCTAAAGAAGTTAAAATGTGCCTTCTGTTAACGTCCGGTCCTACATTTCATGATCTCCGATTTATGTTTTCAGTATTGTATTGCTACCTTGTACGAAACTGGCTATGCAAATACAGTTGATCCGTTTTGTTTTTGAAGGCGGTTTTTGATTTGATTTACCCGACACCCTCTCTATGAGCTCGACAGCGTAGCGGCAGAAGCGGACGTGTTGAGAGCGTTTGTCCTGCAGCACAGGTTCCTTCATCAGCTGCTGTATGTGTGACGAGGAGAAGAGCGGCAGCTTGGAGATGATCTGTCTGACAGCCCTGGAGCGACACAGACCAACCAGAGCCTTACAAGCCAGCGTTCGAATCAGGTCTGCGTCCGTGATGGGCATCTTGACTGTCAGTAAACCAAGGAGGACCTGGAAGAAGAAGGAGGAGTGATTCATTACAGGATTTAAAGAGTTTGAAAATCAAAATGGGAAGCCTGTCTTTACTGCAGTCACTAACATCAGAGGAATAAGAAGATATATGACTTTACCCCCCCCCTCCCCTCCCAGAGACACACCTACACAGAGGTTACAACAGCCTTAGCCCTAACCCCTAGGCCATCTGCCTCTCTAACATACTACCTACCTTGATGCCGTTGTTGGCCTGGACAACGTTCCACATCTTGGTGAGCACGCTCTCCTGGGGGTGCTTGGCCTGGTGGTGGTGGTGCAGAAAGCTTCCCATGGAAGAGAGGGTGTGGTCGGGGGCACACACGCAGTTGGTGATCACCTGGAGCGCTGACTTCTGGATCTCTGCATCGTTGACAAACACCTCTCCCTCCGCCACACCCAGGATAATACTCATACCTCCAGGAGGAACACAGGAAAAAAAAAAGGTCAGATAAAGTAACATTCCTTGTAACATAGTATTGAGAAAGTGAAAACTCCCACTTGGTGTTAAAAATGTAGGTCATGAGTTTTTACTAGTCCAGTCACAGGTTCAAGAAAAACTGTCCCTAGTATAGATCATAGATTGGAAAAAAAAACACAAATATAGATATATAGAAGAGACTGATCTAGGGCATGCGGGAGGGAGGGCGAGAGGAGCAGTAAGGTTGCCTCTCACCCGACTCACCGTCCCTTCTCTTACCCTCCCTCCCTCCCTCGCTCCCTCCCTCCCTCCCTCCCTCCCTCCCTCGCTCCCTCCGCTGAAAAAAGGGGACAGTCTTCCAGCCGATGGCGAAAAACTGAAGTCACACTTCATTGTTTCTGCCTCATGCACCAATTCATGTTGGTTCCTTTTGACCAGAGGAAGTGAAATATCCTTCTTAAAAAAAAAAAAGACACAACCTGATAATAACAACCAGTGCTTGACTCGGGATGGAAGAAGTGAGGTTCGGGAGCTGTCTTTTTCCAAGTCAGTCCATTAGACGATGTTCACTGAAATTCACAAACGACGACCTCCTACTATTCACTGTTAAGGTTTCATTCACATTTTCCATGACTTAACTACATTTTCATGGACTATGATTATAGCTTACATGAAAAAAGTAAGTATTATTGATACTGGAATGCTGCTGTTCAACCAAATACATTTGTCTTTATAAAATTATTCCCTCATTCAATGAATCGGGGGATCAAATGGATACGGTTGGCTCCTTCAAAGCGAGGTATCTAACTAGACATGTTTAAATATAAAAAGGCTAGAATATTCATGTTTCAGGGGAGTTCTATGCACAGCCAGTTATGTCAATTAGGCTATTCGTAGAATACTTTTAACGTTGTCACAATAAAAAAATAAATAAAAAAAATGCCATTTAGCAGACGCTTTTATCCAAAGCGACTTACAGTCATGCGTGCATACATTTTTATGTATGGGTGGTCCCGGGGATCGAACCCACTACCTTGGCGTTACAAGCGCCGTGCTCTACCAGCTGAGCTACAGAGGACCAGCTGAGCTACAGAGGACCACAATTACATGGCTACTGTTTAATGGATGGGAATCCCCAGCTTTCCAACAGTGCAGATTTATTTAAGCTATCTACAGTGCAGTGGAAAGGTGACGACATGAATGCTTAGTTAGCTGTAGTTAACTAGCGAGAGCCAATTCAACAACAACTTGTAGCGGTTAGCTAGTTAGTCGTTATTTTATAGCTGCTGCTCAAAATGTCGCGCTCTCTCTCCTCGGGCAACGGCCCACTCGCACCGTCACACACACAGAAGGGTCATTCTGATAATGGCTGATATGTCGATTTTTTTAAGTGATTGATAACATTTACAAGTGTGCCTTCACGAATTACATTAAGAAAAATTATTAAAACTAATTTCCATAACTTTTCATGACCTTACAAACCCTACTTTTGACAACTTGGGACAGTGCATCATGCCATTCAGGCTGGCGCATTTTTCAATCTGCGCAATCTTGAACAGCCTGCTGTCACTCACAGATTCACAGACTAGCAGCAAATAAACTGGAACAAAGTAGAATCAGGAAATGAATGCCCCCTCTCCATTGCTATTCAATGCAGATCCCGCCTTCATTGCGCTTTAATCAACCTTTTTTTGCTTCGGTGTGTGAATCCGGGACGACGATAGGCTATTTTGTTTTATAGAGGAGGCGGTACGCAATTCCCCAAAAAATAGAAGTGCCGATACGGCGCTCTGGACAGCTCCGGACCAGGTCAAGCACTGATGACGAAACGCAAGCTTATCGAAACACTTTGCTCCTCATTTATTGCAGCTGCAGTGCGTGAGTGGAAGTAGGGAGAACTTGCATTTTATGTCTTATAAAAGTGTTGAACAAAGTGTTAACAGTGCTGAATAACAACTTAAAACTTACTCATAAAAACAGCAGCTCTTTGCTGTATTCGTTGAGTCTCTCTAGTCGTGGTTTTAAACGTTTTGAAATCTCACCGTATCAACTTTGCTGTGCGCTCTTAAGCTTCTTTTTACAGTCTATGGCTCGAGGAAACTGAAAACACGGTGATCTGAGCTATCTGATTGGCCAGCGGTAGGCCTATAGAGGTGCACTTGATTTGCTCTCTGGGCCTGCCGGGTAGGCGGAGTTCTGACTTCAGACACACAAAATGGTTCAAAAATGGGAACACTTTTCCTTCCTGACGCTAGGGCTGCTGAAACAAGTGCACCACCCACCAACAGCAAGAAACTGAATAAAACAAATAGGAACGCAAGGCTTTATCGTTGGGTTTTTTACAGAAATGTTTAGTGATCGACTAGGAATGCCTTGAAGATCGACCTGTTGGTGACCCCTGATCTAGAGACTGACCTAGTAGTATATAGATAGAGAATCTAGAGACTGACCTAGTAGTATATATAGATAGAGAATCTAGAGACTGACCTAGTAGTATATAGATAGAGAATCTAGAGACTGACCTAGTAGTATATATAGATAGAGAATCTAGAGACTGACCTAGTAGTATATATAGAGAATCTAGAGACTGACCTAGTAGTATATATATATAGAGAATCTAGAGACTGACCTAGTAGTTTAGATAGAGAATCTAGAGACTGACCTAGTAGTATATATAGATAGAGAATCTAGAGACTGACCTAGTAGTATATAGATAGAGAATCTAGAGACTGACCTAGTAGTATATATATATAGAGAATCTAGAGACTGACCTAGTAGTATATATAGATAGAGAATCTAGAGACTGACCTAGTAGTATATAGATAGAGAATCTAGAGACTGACCTAGTAGTATATATATATAGAGAATCTAGAGACTGACCTAGTAGTATATAGATAGAGAATCTAGAGACTGACCTAGTAGTTTAGATAGAGAATCTAGAGACTGACCTAGTAGTATATAGATAGAGAATCTAGAGACTGACCTAGTAGTATAGATAGAGAATCTCGAGACTGACCTAGTAGTATAGATATAGAGAATCTAGAGACTGACCTAGTAGTATAGATATATAGAGAATCTAGAGACTGACCTAGTAGTTTAGATAGAGAATCTAGAGACTGACCTAGTAGTATAGATAGATAGAGAATCTAGAGACTGACCTAGTAGTATATATAGAGAATCTAGAGACTGACCTAGTAGTATATATAGATAGAGAATCTAGAGACTGACCTAGTAGTATATATATAGATAGAGAATCTAGAGACTGACCTAGTAGTATATATAGATAGAGAATCTAGAGACTGACCTAGTAGTATATAGATAGAGAATCTAGAGACTGACCTAGTAGTTTAGATAGAGAATCTAGAGACTGACCTAGTAGTATATAGATAGAGAATCTAGAGACTGACCTAGTAGTATAGATAGAGAATCTCGAGACTGACCTAGTAGTATAGATATAGAGAATCTAGAGACTGACCTAGTAGTATAGATATATAGAGAATCTAGAGACTGACCTAGTAGTTTAGATAGAGAATCTAGAGACTGACCTAGTAGTATAGATAGAGAATCTAGAGACTGACCTAGTAGTATATATAGATAGAGAATCTAGAGACTGACCTAGTAGTATATATAGATAGAGAATCTAGAGACTGACCTAGTAGTATATATAGATAGAGAATCTAGAGACTGACCTAGTAGTATAGATAGAGAATCTAGAGACTGACCTAGTAGTATAGATAGAGAATCTAGAGACTGACCTAGTAGTATAGATAGAGAATCTAGAGACTGACCTAGTAGTATATATAGATAGAGAATCTAGAGACTGACCTAGTAGTATATATAGAGAATCTAGAGACTGACCTAGTAGTATATACAGTGGGGAGAACAAGTATTTGATACACTGCCGATCTTGCAGGTTTTCCTACTTACAAAGCATGTAGAGGCCTGTAATTTTTATCATAGGTACACTTCAACTGTGAGAGACGGAATCTAAAACAAAAATCCAGAAAATCATATTGTATGATTTTTAAGTAATTAATTTGCATTTTATTGCATGACATAAGTATTTGATACATCAGAAAAGCTGAACTTAATATTAGGTACAAAAACCTTTGTTTGCAATTACAGAGATCATATGTTTCCTGTAGGTCTTGACCAGGTTTGCACACACTGCTGCAGGGATTTTGGCCCTCTCCTCCATACAGACCTTCTCAAGATGCTTCAGGTTTCGGGGCTGTCGCTGGGCAATATGGACTTTCAGCTCCCTCCAAAGATTTTCTATTGGGTTCAGGTCTGGAGACTGGCTAGGCCACTCCAGGACCTTGAGATGCTTCTTACGGAGCCACTCCTTAGTTGCCCTGGCTGTGTGTTTCGGGTCGTTGTCATGCTGGAAGACCCAGCCACGACCCATCTTCAATGCTCTTACCGAGGGAAGGAAGTTGTTGGCCAAGATCTCGCGATACATGGCCCCATCCATCCTCCCCTCAGTACGGTGCAGTCGTCCTGTCCCCTTTGCAGAAAAGCATCCCCAAATAATGATGTTTCCACCTCCATGCTTCACGGTTGGGATGGTGTTCTTGGGGTTGTACTCATCCTTCTTCTTCCTCCAAACACGGCGAGTGGAGTTTAGACCAAAAAGCTCTATTTTTGTCTCATCAGACCACATGACCTTCTCCCATTCCTCCTCTGGATCATCCAGATGGTCATTGGCAAACTTCAGACGGGCCTGGACATGCGCTGGCTTGAGCAGGGGGACCTTGCGTGCGCTGCAGGATTTTAATCCATGACGGCGTAGTGTGTTACTAATGGTTTTCTTTGAGACTGTGGTCCCAGCTCTCTTCAGGTCATAGACCAGGTCCTGCTGTGTAGTTCTGGGCTGATCCCTCACCTTCCTCATGATCATTGATGCCCCACGAGGTGAGATTTTGCATGGAGCCCCAGACCGAGGGTGATTGACCATCATCTTGAACTTCTTCTATTTTCTAATAATTGCGCCAACAGTTGTTGCCTTCTCACCAAGCTGCTTGCCTATTGTCCTGTAGCCCATCCCAGCCTTGTGCAGGTCTACAATTTTATCCCTGGTCCTTACACAGCTCTCTGGTCTTGGCCATTGTGGAGAGGTTGGAGTCTGTTTGATTGAGTGTGTGGACAGGTGTCTTCTATACAGGTAACGAGTTCAAACAGGTGCAGTTAATACAGGTAATGAGTGGAGAACAGGAGGGCTTCTTAAAGAAAAACTAACAGGTCTGTGAGAGCCGGGATTCTTACTGGTTGGTAGGTGATCAAATACTTATGTCATGCAATAAAATGCAAATTAATTACTTAAAAATCATACAATGTGATTTTCTGGATTGTTGTTTTAGATTCCGTCTCTCACAGTTGAAGTGTACCTATGATAACAATTACAGACCTCTACATGCTTTGTAAGTAGGAAAACCTGCAGAATCGGCAGTGTATCAAATACTTGTTCTCCCCACTGTGTGTATATATATATATATATATATATATATATATATATATATATATATATATATATATATATATATATATATATATATATATATATATATATATATATAATCTAGAGACTGACCTAGTAGTATATATAGATAGAGAATCTAGAGACTGACCTAGTAGTATATATATATAGAGAATCTAGAGACTGACCTAGTAGTATATATAGAGAATCTAGAGACTGACCTAGTAGTATATATAGATAGAGAATCTAGAGACTGACCTAGTAGTATATATAGAGAATCTAGAGACTGACCTAGTAGTATATATATATAGAGAATCTAGAGACTGACCTAGTAGTATATATAGATAGAGAATCTAGAGACTGACCTAGTAGTATAGATAGAGAATCTAGAGACTGACCTAGTAGTATAGATAGAGAATCTAGAGACTGACCTAGTAGTATATATAGAGAATCTCGAGACTGACCTAGTAGTATATATATATATATATATAGAATCTAGAGACTGACCTAGTAGTATATATAGATAGATAATCTCGAGACTGACCTAGTAGTATAGATAGAGAATCTAGAGACTGACCTAGTAGTATATATATATATAGAGAATCTCGAGACTGACCTAGTAGTTTAGATAGAGAATCTAGAGACTGACCTAGTAGTATATATAGAGAATCTCGAGACTGACCTAGTAGTATAGATAGAGAATCTAGAGACTGACCTAGTAGTATATATAGATAGAGAATCTAGAGACTGACCTAGTAGTATATATAGATAGAGAATCTAGAGACTGACCTAGTAGTATATATAGAGAATCTAGAGACTGACCTAGTAGTATATAGATAGAGAATCTAGAGACTGACCTAGTAGTATATATATATAGAGAATCTAGAGACTGACCTAGTAGTATATATAGAGAATCTAGAGACTGACCTAGTAGTATATATAGATAGAGAATCTAGAGACTGACCTAGTAGTATATATAGAGAATCTAGAGACTGACCTAGTAGTATATATATATAGAGAATCTAGAGACTGACCTAGTAGTATAGATAGAGAATCTAGAGACTGACCTAGTAGTATAGATAGAGAATCTAGAGACTGACCTAGTAGTATATATATATATATATAGAATCTAGAGACTGACCTAGTAGTATATATAGATAGATAATCTCGAGACTGACCTAGTAGTATAGATAGAGAATCTAGAGACTGACCTAGTAGTATATATATATATATATAGAGAATCTCGAGACTGACCTAGTAGTTTAGATAGAGAATCTAGAGACTGACCTAGTAGTATATATAGAGAATCTCGAGACTGACCTAGTAGTATATATATATATAGAGAATCTCGAGACTGACCTAGTAGTATAGATAGAGAATCTAGAGACTGACCTAGTAGTATATATATATATAATCTCGAGACTGACCTAGTAGTATATATATAGAGAATCTAGAGACTGACCTAGTAGTATATATATAGAGAATCTCGAGACTGACCTAGTAGTATAGATAGAGAATCTCGAGACTGACCTAGTAGTATAGATAGAGAATCTAGAGACTGACCTAGTAGTATAGATAGAGAATCTAGAGACTGACCTAGTAGTATAGATAGAGAATCTAGAGACTGACCTAGTAGTATATATAGATAGAGAATCTAGAGACTGACCTAGTAGTATAGATAGAGAATCTAGAGACTGACCTAGTAGTATAGATAGAGAATCTAGAGAGACATACCGACAGTGCAGACGGTCGATCCTCCTTCATCCAGCACGTCGACAGTCTCAGCAAGTAGCAGCTGAACATTTGGCGCTACAGTCAACATGGCCAGGATGTCCAGGGCAAAACGCACCGTATCAGACCTGTAACACAGTGTTATCTCTATTGGGGGTGCAGCACTCTCACTGACAAGGAGGAGGAGGAAGGACTGAACAGGGCTTTTATCTTCACTCAACTAGATATACCTGGAACTGCCCACTAGACCTTGGGGGGAAAAAATATATTGGGGTTTTTAAAAATCACAACGTTTCAAAGTCTTAGCCTGGTCACAGTTTAGGCATTTGCCAACTCGTGCATTTTGTCATGACAACAAACGACAGCGAGAAACTGGGTAAAGAACAAAACAGATCTGTGAAGTCTTCATTTGGAGAATGTGCAGATGTTGATCAGGTCAATTAGAGAGACTGCTAGTAACGTGGGACTACTTTTTAAAAAATAATTTATTCACTAACTGTAAGTCGCCCTGGATAAGAGCGTCTGCTAAAATGACTAAAATGTAACGTACCTGCCATAGTAAGTCCTCCAGTCGCAGGCTATAGAGATGAGTTGTAACATCAGGGGTATACAGGAGAGCTTCTGGAACAAATCTACAGGCTCCCAGTGAAGCTGAACGGGACCACACTCTATCAGAAACTCCATCATCTCCACCACCTGCTCATGGCTGTATGAACACGACTGGGGGGGACATACACACAACAAGTCAATAAATTCATTGAAAAGTCAATCAACCAACCGAGCAATCGATCACTGAAATCAATCAGTCTTCGTTATCCATAATCGATCATTCTAACTAAATCAATGAATACATCTTTAACATCCCAAATTAAATTAGCTAATCTTGATCATGTCTAAATGAATGTTTAGTTTGTGTGTTCATCTCAGGACTTCACTAAAAAGGGAACCTACCTTGTAGTAAGGCTGAGGGTGAACTTGAGCGCCCCCTTCAGTCCTATGGAGGGACTGTTTGACTTGCTCCACCCTGACAGCCAGGTGGGCCTCGAAGTACCTTCTCAGGGCCATACAGGTGTGTTTGGCTGTCTGACGGCTGGAGAACACCTGGTCGTCACTCAACATGGCCCCCTGGTCCTCTGTGTTCAGGATCTCCAATGTACTGATCTAGAGAGAGAGAGAGAGAGACAGTACACAGCACTGGGTCAAAGGGAACTAAACAGCACAGTTGTCTTCTGAAAATCAGTAGAAGCTTTAACTCTTTTAGCAGAGGGACGACATAGCTAGGGCATGGGGGGGGGAGCCCGCCTCACAAACGTAACGCTAGGGGAAATACTGGAGCTCTATTCACCAGGTTGACTAGTCTCCTGAGCCCGTCCTGATGGTCAAACAGCTGCAGTATCGCTCTGAACGAGAAGGAGATGGAGAAGAACATGGTGGCGTGGCAGCAGCCTGACGCGTGGGAACACTCCAGGAGCCACAGGGCATAGCCCACCATGTCCGACAGCACACCGTCCGCCAGCATACACACCTGAAGGACGGGGAGACAGTCAGGTTTACATACACACCTGAAGGACGGGGAGACACAGTCAGGTTTACATACACACCTCCACACTTATACGTTTCAAGTCGCGTGACAGTAAACAAAATGACATACAATGAGGTTTAATTTGGGGGGGAGATAAATGTGGATTTACTTCTGTGTGGTAAGTGTGTGTGTGTGTGTGTGTGTGTGAGACTCCTACCCTCTCCATGGCGTCCTGGTTATAAGCCAGGTAGTAGAGGCACAGTGACACCCCTGTGGCGGCCATGGAGGGTCTGGGGATATCCAGCAGCGTCTGCACTCCTCCATGAGCTATGAAGTCAGCTGCAAACTTCTTGTGCAGGAGCAGGGAGGCAAGGTACTGGAGACAAAGACGCAAATAATACAGAGTGATTAGAGATGAGCCAACGTGACTGACCACGGTTAAAAACCAGACTAACAGAACTGTGTTAGCCCACTAAACTAAAGACCAGGGATTACCTTGGGGGGGGGGGGGGGGGGAGCTAACACAAGTATTCAGGTCTCAGGCAAGGTTTTCCATAAAGCAAGCATGGTTCATCAAACGAGGTCCGTTACACCGACATTCGGACACTATCTCTATGTGAGCAGAACCTCGCCCTCAGCCTTCACATGGTCTTATCACAGACACACAGACACAGCTGACCTGCAACAGTCAGGCTATTGAGATACTCATGGTGTGAGTCTCCTAACCCTCCTGTTTCCAGGGGGTTTCCCTTATTCTCTACTCTGCAGGTAATGACTAGTAGCTGGCGGAAAAAAAAACACAACCCAAATATGGTTTCAGTTCCTCACCAAACCCAATTCACCTAATAGGGAATAACAATGTAGTCACAGGAAATAAAACCGTAACGTGAAGACCTGGAGTGGCACTCCTGCTAAATAACGACATCAGTGACGATGATTTACCAGGAGTGAGTCGAAGGTGAGCTGGACATCGTTGGTGTGTTTCAGGTCAATGTAGTACATGAGAAGCTCTCTGGTGTCCATCTGCATGAACACAGCTAGCAGCTCCAGGACGAGAGACAGAGGGAACAACACAGTTGGTTCAAGTCCTCAAAGCACATAGATACGTTTATCCAACGCTTGTTTGACCAGTTAACGTGACTGACAATACATGAGTATGAAGAATGGCTAAAAGGGAATGTCATTTCTAAGTACTTTGTGTGTGACTAACACTGTACTTGCTAATGTAACTACCATGTTAATACATGCATATCAGAGACATGTGATGTCATTATGCGACGTGGGACCAACGTTAATGCGGTGATGGGGTCCTTAATATCTGTGTGATGTGGGACCAACGTTAATGCGGTGATGGGGTCCTTCATATCTGTGTGATGTGGGACCAACGTTACTGCGGTGATGGGGTCCTTCATATCTGTGTGATGTGGGACCAACGTTAATGCGGTGATGGGGTCCTTCATATCTGTGTGATGTGGGACCAACGTTAAGCGGTGATGGGGTCCTTAATATCGGTGTGATGTGGGACCAACGTTAAGCGGTGATGGGGTCCTTCATATCTGTGTGATGTGGGACCAACGTTAAGCGGTGATGGGGTCCTTAATATCGGTGTGATGTGGGACCAACGTTAAGCGGTAGGCGGTGATGGGGTCCTTAATATCGGTGTGATGTGGGACCAACGTTAATGCGGTGATGGGGTCCTTAATATCTGTGATGTGGGACCAACGTTAATGCGGTGATGGGGTCCTTAATATCGGTGTGATGTGGGACCAACGTTAAGCGGTAGGCGGTGATGGGGTCCTTAATATCGGTGTGATGTGGGACCAACGTTAAGCGGTGATGGGGTCCTTCATATCTGTGTGATGTGGGACCAACGTTACTGCGGTGATGGGGTCCTTCATATCTGTGTGATGTGGGACCAACGTTACTGCGGTGATGGGGTCCTTAATATCTGTGTGACGTGGGACCAACGTTAAGCGGTGATGGGGTCCTTAATATCGGTGTGATGTGGGACCAACGTTAAGCGGTGATGGGGTCCTTAATATCGGTGTGATGTGGGACCAACGTTAAGCGGTGATGGGGTCCTTAATATCGGTGTGATGTGGGACCAACGTTAAGCGGTGATGGGGTCCTTAATATCTGTGTGATGTGGGACCAACGTTAAGCGGTAGGCGGTGATGGGGTCCTTACCTCCTGGTAATCCCCTAGGGGTGTGAGGTACTGGAGGATGAGGCGTTGCTCTATAGCAGGGGTGAGGGGGTACAGACGGTAGTTGTCCCCAATCACCCAGGAGCTCATCTCTGACCAGCTACTGTTAGACTGATCACTACCGGTACTGCAGGACAATCCTCTCCCTCGCTCTCTCTCTGGATCCGTGGAAGAGGCGGCGAAGTGGAGTTTCTGTGGATTCAGATTGAGGTTTATGATCCCTCAAAAAACAGCCATTTGATTTGATTTTGCAGCTGTATATGAAAACAATACACAAGAACAGGTACAACAAAAGGGTGTGAGTCTGAAAAGGCACCCTATTTATAGTGCACTACTTTCGACCAGAGACATATGAGCCCTGGTCAAAAGTAGTGCACTATACAGGGAAAGAGTATGCTATTTCAGAAACATGCTGGTGGATGTTACCTGTTTGGCTTTCCTCCCATTCTCCCTGACAGTGGCTGTTCTCTTCCTCCACAGGCCTCCTCCAGACTCCTGCCCCCTGGTTTCAGGCCCTCCCAGGCTGGTGTCGGGGCATGGACCTGGCTGGTACAGGGCGTCTTGAATGGGCTTCACCGATACACAGCTGCTGGTCTTCTGGGCCTTACCCAGGTGGAACGATGGCTTGGGCCTGGACAACGCAGCCCTGCTACTACTACATGTCGTCTCTCTTCCCCTCTCCTTTTTGTCCTTCCTCTCCTCTTCCTCCTCCTCCTCCTCTTCCTCCTCGTTATCTGTTGCTGTATTCTGTTGAGGTGTGCTGCTCTCTTCCTCGTTGGGGTCTCTGTCTGTAGGTTCCTCTGCTACAGACTGGAGGGCCTGGAAGGTCTTCTTAGGGCTGGGGCGTTTTAAAGCCTGACGACTCTTTGATTCTTCATCCTGCAGCTCACGTAGCCTCATCAGCATCAGCGGCACCTGAGACACCAAGGATGACATTGAAGCATAGTCTAACGAACAACAACTCAAAACACACCAATGTGTGTGTACTAACCAGTTTGGAGTTTTCATCCCTGTAGTTTGCAGCGATCTCCTGGTTCTCCATCGCTCTGGCCAGTAGTCCTGTAGCGTAGATACACAGAGGCTGCTCTGCCTCCTGGGCCCATTTAAACAGCTTCTCAACCAGACCCTCCTGTTTCAACACACACAGTAAGTCTAGAACGCACGTTCACAGCATTTCAAAACAGGGGTTTACAACATTCACAAGGGGACTGTTTATGCGTAGAGCAAATGACTGACTTTGACATGTGTAATGGATCCAATTAGATTTCCAACTATGATGTTTAGGTACAAATAACAGCAGCGTTCCTTCTAGATTATTCCCCAAAAATATTTTAAGAGGGGGGCAATCGAGCTAGTCAAGGGTGTGGCCTGCCTGAACAACAGTAGGGGAATGACAATGACAGTACCTTCTCCTGGAACACCACAGCTGTCTGAATGACAGAACAGTACCTTCTCCTGCAACACCACAGCTGTCTGAATGACAGAACAGTACCTTCTCCTGGAACACCACAGCTGTCTGAATGACAGAACAGTACCTTCTCCTGGAACACCACAGCTGTCTGAATGACAGAACAGTACCTTCTCCTGGAACACCACAGCTGTCTGAATGACAGAACAGTACCTTCTCCTGGAACACCACAGCTGTCTGAATGACAGAACAGTACCTTCTCCTGGAACACCACAGCTGTCTGAATGACAGAACAGTACCTTCTCTTGTAACACTACAGCTGTCTGAATGACAGAACAGTACCTTCTCCTGGAACACCACAGCTGTCTGAATGACAGAACAGTACCTTCTCCTGGAACACCACAGCTGTCTGAATGACAGTACCTTCTCCTGCAACACCACAGCTGTCTGAATGACAGAACAGTACCTTCTCCTGGAACACCACAGCTGTCTGAATGACAGTACCTTCTCCTGCAACACCACAGCTGTCTGAATGATAGTACAGTACCTTCTCCTGGAACACCACAGCTGTCTCCAGACCTGGCATTATGTTCTGTAGCAGACGACACGCTGCCGTGTTCATGGACAGCTCTCTACTGGTCATCACATAGCTATTCAGCAACTAGCAGGAGAGGTCAGAGGACAGACACAGGGTTAACACACAGCTCTCTACTGGTCATCACATAGTTATTGAACAGCTGGAGGACAGAGATACACAGGGTTAACACAGAGAGTCACAGGCCTCAGCGGTCTTATTAACGTAATAGGAGAAGTGTAGCTCAATTTGCATAGATGGTAGCCTTGATTCGTACCGCATTTGTGAAGTCGTCATTCTTGAAGAGGATTTTGAGTAAATGTCCCAACATGCATTCTGGATCTGCTCGTCCTGGATGGCGGTCATCAAACGGGTCAGGATCAGCTTTATGATACTCCTCTGTCTCGCGCTCTATCAGCTCAGAGATTCTAACACACACAAAAGAAAACATGAATGATCAACTGTCTGTCATATGAAGAATAGAAGATGTGCTATTGTAATGTCTACACGAAAAACAAAGCAGCAACGGATGGACCTAAACAGTACAACAGCAATAGGCCTATACAAAAACAGTGGCAGTAAATCCACTGAAGTCTCCCACTAGTCTTTTCCATTATTAGCTAGTTGGTGTTACTAACTTGGTGAGGACGGAGACCAGGTCGTCAGTGGTTCCTTGCTGCTCCGTCTCCCATTGGTCCAGCAGAGAGGTCAGCTCTGCCTTGGCATCCACAGGCGCAGCATGGGAGGCCATGGTGGCTTTACCTGAGAGAGGGAGAGAGTGAAAGTGAGAGAGAAAATGTACCATACAAGATGATTCAGTTCTGAGATGCTACATATTGAAAGACAACTCTTGACATGTGTTTACCCAGGCTAATATTATGTCTTGTCATCCTGCCATTTCACGTCTGCATTGTCTAGGTTAACGTTAAGAGTGAAAACAGTAGCTAACGTTCGCTGGCAAGTTCCTAAAGTAGCTAGTTAGCTACTCGATTTCGATGACGGACTGAACTGATCAACGTAGTTTGATCTAGCTAACTAGTTACGTCACTTTAGGCTGGCTAGTTACCTCGTTTGTCCAAGTGGCTAACTAGTCAGTAGAGGGGAGGAGTCCTGAATAACTAGTTAGCTAACGCTAGATGTCTAACTACGAGTAGTTAGTGGGGACAAACAAGATAAGTCGGTCATTGTGGTAGTTCTAGCTAGTTAGCAAAAGCTCGTCCAACAGGTGGCTAACTAACTAGCTAGCTACAGTGGCATTGCTTGTTGTGTGGAAACAACTTGGCGTAATTACTAGCCAACTGTTAGGTAGGCGTAGCAAGCTAGGTTTCTTTTGATTTATTCCTAATTCATACTAAGTGCAGTGGATAAGCTAGCCAGTTAGTACACTTTCAGAGCACTGGATTGTTTAATAATTTGTTCCCAACACAAGCCAGCTAACGTTACCGAGCATGCATGAGAACTCGTGTCACGGCAGGATCAGTCAAGTTCACTGCTTTAAACACCTGAATTGCCTACCTTTTTGTTGCAGAAGACAACTGTAGCTCAAGCGTAGTACTGTGAATGTGATGGAGAGTGTGGTATGAAAAAAAAAAACTATCGATTAATATTAGCGAAAGTTTCACATGTTTATTTTGCTAACTTCACTCACGACAGTACGCTGGAAACGTCACAGACAGATGTCGACTTTTGATGACGTAATCAACATTTTATTCCGCTCCATTCTATCTTGTTATTGTACTTCTAACTTTCTATTTATAATATTTTTTTTATCAGCAAGACATTTAGATATTAAAATAAAATCAAGAAAAACAATCACTACAATCGTGTGATAAAAAAAAAAAAAAGATTGTATAAACGGTTAGTCATCATGACATGCACAGTGTCAGTTTATTTGCTTAGCTAAAAAATTATATGTATGTGAATGGGTGGCTTTTAAATTATAGTCATACTTGCAATTCAACAATGTGTATACCTATCTCATGAAGAGAGAGGTAATGTGTCCAAATTCCAAAATCAACCTTTCCTTATAAACATACCAGTTTTACCTCATAAAGCAAGGGATTATGACGTATTAAAATTATGATACAACATTCTATGGTAATGAATCACCAAAACCATTCCCTTTCGTGATGTGTAGAGAAGTAACATACTAGTAACTACTAGAAGGGTGCTTCACTGAAAATAGGTCCCGTACTGCTTTATAATATGAAAGTTAACGTACACGTAAATAGGATAAATAGATTGCAACCTTGCTTAAATGGCGACAGTACTACATAATGAAAACAAATTACAGGTCTACGGCAAGTCACTTGTGTAGTTTACAAAAACCAACACTAGATGGCAATAACTGTATGATAAACAACAAGTTACACGGTGAAACATGTCCATTCTCAGTGAGCGCAAGAGATTGGAAATGTGATTTTTTTTGTTTGTTCAGTCGACTGCACTAGGGTTTGATACCCAGTCGGTCACACTACTGTTAAATTATGAGATCTGTGATGATTACCAGGGGTAATCAAATTATAGACCATTTTCTAAATTAATAATAAATACGAAAACAAAGATGTCTTAATTGCACGTCTTCACACCCGAGTTAATACTTGGTGGAAGCACCTTTGGCAGCCATTACAGCTGTGAATCATTTTGAATAAGATTCTACCAACTTTGCACAGCTCTTAGGGCAACATACACTTAGTCTACAAAACATTAAGAACACATTCCTAATATTGAGAAGTGAAATTAACAAGTGACAGCAATAAGGGATCATAGCTTTCACCTGGACAGTCTATGTCATGGAAAGAGCAGGTGTCCTTAAAGTTTTGTACACTAAATTTGTGTCAAAATTGCTCAAGCTCAGTAAATTGGTTGGGAATCAATGACGAGCAGCAATATTCAAACCGTATGTCTGATTTTTTTCAAGCAGATTTAAGTCAGGACTGAGACTCGACCATTCAGGAATACCCAACACCTATTAGAAAGCCATTCAGTGTCAAAATAAATCTGAAAGGAGAGAAGCCCAGGTACAAGGTTAGAGGAAAACCTGCCTCAGCGTGTGCGTGTTCATTCTCTCCAGATGCTGAGAACCTTTGATTTACCCAGTCAAAATAACCACGCTGTCCACAGACTGCCTATACAACCACTGACCTAATTGATACAGGATGGCATGCCATCTAGAAATGTTAGCCTTAGAGGCTCTATTCAATCTGCATTGAGGAAGTTAAGCTTTAGCGTGATTTAAATGTAAAGGCAAGAGACTGCATTGGCAGTAAACGGTACATGTGTCGGCTCAATCGGAAATGACCTTTACACTTCTGTCTGAGTCCCCGTGTAGCTCAGTTGAGTAGAGCATGGCGTTTGCAACACCAGGGTTGTGGGTTCGATTCCCACGGGGGGCCAGTATGAAAAATGTATGCACTCACTAACTGTAAGTCGCTCTGGATAAGAGCGTCTGCTAAATGACTAAAAATCTGTAATGCTTTAAAGGCCTAAATCTTTTTTTGAGTAGATCCATTTTTGTATGTTTTATTAGTTTTTATATACAGACAGATAAACCTATCACTAGATGGTTTCAGCGAGACAAACCATCACATTTTTGGTTGCAAAACGAGATATATCCGCCTCACTCTCAGAGAAAAAAAGTAGCACTGCAAGGTTTTACACAGTCAAATGTGACAAATAATTACATTTTTTTTTTATAAAGAACTGTACAAATGATACATTTGTGACATCAATATAAAAAATATACATGTATATACAGTGGGGAGAACAAGTATTTGATACACTGCCGATTTTGCAGGTTTTCCTACTTACAAAGCATGTAGAGGTCTGTAATTTTTATCATAGGTACACTTCAACTGTGAGAGATGGAATCTAAAACAAAAATCCAGAAAATCACATTGTATGATTTTTAAGTAATTCATTTGCATTTTATTGCATGACATAAGTATTTGATCACCTACCAACCAGTAAGAATTCTGGCTCTCACAGACCTGTTAGTTTTTCTTTAAGAAGCCCTCCTGTTCTCCACTCATTACCTGTCTTAACTGCACCTGTTTGACCTCGTTACCTGTATAAAAGACACCTGTCCACACACTCAATCAAACAGACTCCAACCTCTCCACAATGGCCAAGACCAGAGAGCTGTGTAAGGACATCAGGGATAAAATTGTAGACCTGCACAAGGCTGGGATGGGCTACAGGACAATAGGCAAGCAGCTTGGTGAGAAGGCAACAACTGTTGGCGCAATTATTAGAAAATGGAAGAAGTTCAAGATGACGGTCAATCACCCTCGGTCTGGGGCTCCATGCAAGATCTCACCTCGTGGGGCATCAATGATCATGAGGAAGGTGAGGGATCAGCCCAGAACTACATGGCAGGACCTGGTAAATGACCTGAAGAGAGCTGGGACCACAGTCTCAAAGAAAACCATTAGTAACACACTACGCCGTCATGGATTAAAATCCTGCAGCGCACGCAAGGTCCCCCTGCTCAAGCCAGCGCATGACCAGGCCCGTCTGAAGTTTGCCAATGACCATCTGGATGATCCAGAGGAGGTATGGGAGAAGGTCATGTGGTCTGATGAGACAAAAATAGAGCTTTTTGGTCTAAACTCCACTCGCCGTGTTTGGAGGAAGAAGAAGGATGAGTACAACCCCAAGAACACCATCCCAACCGTGAAGCATGGAGGTGGAAACATCATTATTTGGGGATGCTTTTCTGCAAAGGGGACAGGACGACTGCACCGTATTGAGGGGAGGATGGATGGGGCCATGTATCGCGAGATCTTGGCCAACAACCTCCTTCCCTCAGTAAGAGCATTGAAGATGGGTCGTGGCTGGGTCTTCCAGCATGACAACGACCCGAAACACACAGCCAGGGCAACTAAGGAGTGACTCCGTAAGAAGCATCTCAAGGTCCTGGAGTGGCCTAGCCAGTCTCCAGACCTGAACCCAATAGAAAATCTTTGGAGGGAGCTGAATGTCTGTATTGCCCAGCGACAGCCCCAAAACCTTAAGGATCTGGAGAAGGTCTGTATGGAGGAGTGGGCCAAAATCCCTGCTGCAGTGTGTGCAAACCTGGTCAAGACCTACAGGAAACGTATGATCTCTGTAATTGCAAACAAAGGTTTCTGTACCAAATATTAAGTTCTGCTTTTCTGATGTATCAAATACTTATGTCATGCAATAAAATGCAAATTAATTACTTAAAAATCATACAATGTGATTTTCTGGATTTTTGTTTTAGATTCCGTCTCTCACAGTTGAAGTGTACCTATGATAAAAATTACAGGCCTCTACATGCTTTGTAAGTAGGAAAACCTGCAAAGTCGGCAGTGTATCAAATCCTTGTTCTCCCCACTGTATACTGGTACCCATAGGCATTAATTTCTGACAAGAAAACAAATGTGAAAAATTGGTGGATATAGCGTTTTGGAAATAAACTCTTCTGGAATGTATATGTTAAATCTACAGGATAGGAACATTCCATTCCAGCTAAATAATGGATCTATAGCGTTTTGCAACAAAACCAATTTGTATATACATCTGAAATAAACTCTGCTTGAATCTATCTTTAAATAAACTCTTCAAATGTGAAGGAAGCTTCTCAGTGTTGTTGTCCACAGGACCAGGAAAACCCTCTTAATGAAATGTTTCTCTTCTTCTCTGCCAGGAAGGAAGGAAGGAAGGAGATGGCGGGAACATCTTGCTTGCGCAACAGAGTGACCCTACTCATTTCCCCTCGCAGTTGTGTAGTTCCGGGACACCTGTGGATGTGATGATTGTAATGCTGCTGAGGACCAAATAAACGAATGTGCCTCAACACATGTGGGGGGAGAACAGTCTGTCCTGTTTTTATTCGGTAAACAAACTCACCAGTCCAGAGCGCAATAACAAACGTTTTGGGTCAAAATCCTGTCTACACAGAATACAGGGGATGAAGACTGAGGAGTAATATACATCTAAAATATCTATCATACACATTCTTCTATGGACAAAGGTTAACTGATAATAATAATATTAAGCTCATACACTGAGTAGACAAAACATTAGGAACACCATGAAATAGACTGACCAGGTGAATCCAGGTGAAAGCTATGATCCCTTATTGATGTCACTTGTTAAATCTACTTCAATCAGTGTAAATGAAGGGGAGGAGACAGGTTAAGGAAGGATGTTTAGGCCTTGAGACAATTGAGTCATGGATTGTGTATGCGTTCCATTCGGAAGGTGAATGGGCAAGATAAAATATTTAAGTGGCTTTGAACGGGGTATGGTAGTAGGTGCCAGGCGTACCGGTTTGAGTACGTCAAGAACTACAACGCTGCTGGGTTTTTCACACTCAACAGTTTCCCGTGTGTATAAAGAATGGTCCACCACCCAAAAGGACATCCAGCCAACTTGACACAACTGTGGGAAGCATTGGAGTCAACATGGGCCAGAATCCCTGTGGAATACTTTCGACACCTTGTAGAGTCCCATGCCCCGACGAATTGAGGCTGTTCTGAGGGAAAAGGGGGGATGCAACTCAATATTAGGAAGGGGTCCTTAATGTTTGGTACCCTCAGTGTCTGTTCACATATTGGCTCTACTGTGTGTATATACATTCCCTTTATCTACAAGGCTATTTTCCGATTCTCCACCCTTTTCCAGAAGTGTGCACTTGCACACTACCCGTCATGGATGTCAAGGCATAGGATCGGTGTAAGCATTGGCTGGAGGGTGTTTTTACACCATTGTTAAATCCATGCGTGAAAGTGTGCAAGTGCACATTTTCCGTTAGAAACGTGGAGAACTGGGACGCAGCCCACGTCTCTGTCCATCCCCATCAGGTTATTGTAGTGCGATGTCCCCGGTGGAGTCGTGCCGTCGCACCCTGGCCTTGCGGTTGTCCACCATTGTCTGTTTCCACTTCAACTGGCGTAGCTTCTTCTTCTCCCGGTACCACAGCTGCTCACAGTACTCGTCTGCGCTCAAGCTTGCCGCGTCCATCATGTGCAGGTCCTTATAGTTCCCGAAGAGCTGGTTGTGGCTCTGGGTGTGGCTCACAGGACCTCCCCTCAGCCCTGCTCTTCCGGCCCCAGGATCAGCTGCCCTGGCCTGGGATGCTGTCATGCTCTGCTGGGGTATGACCTGGAGGTTGTAGCGGGCCAGGACCTGGGAGAAGGAGTGCTCCAGGGTGGTACAGCTGTAGAGGCCAGCGTCCCCGGGCTCCAGTCGCTGCACCAGGAGACCCCGCTTCATATGGACCATACGCTCATCACCCAGGAGAAGCTGCATAACGACAGCAAGGCAAGAGAAGGTTCATTATTAGATGAACATTAGTCAATGATTCAATTATAAACGACATTTTTACATTTTAGTCATTTAGCAGACGCTCTTATCCAGAGCGACTTACATTACACTTTTTTTTTTTTTTTTCATACTGGCCCCCCCGTGGGAATCGAACCCACAACCCTGCCGTTGCAAACGCCGTGCTCTACATCCCTGCCGGCCATTCCCTCCCCTACCCTGGATGACGCTGTGCCAATTGTGCGCCGCCCCATGGGTCTCCCAGTCATGGCCGGCTACGACAGAGCCTGGATTCGAACCAGGATTCTCTAGTGGCACAGCTAGCACTGCGATGCAGTGCCTTAGACCACTGCGCCACTCGGGAGACAAACCGCTCATCCCTCTCACCCCTCACCTCTCTGCTAGTGCGAGCCTGCGCCGGCTGAGCACTCCACTTGACCGTAGCCTGTGGGGATCTGGGCATACACTCTAGGAAGGTTGAGCTGCTCTCCACCCCGTAGACCACCTTCAGCTCCACCGACTCAGAACCTGGAAGGCACCAAACAGGATGGAGTTAAAAGTTATGTCACATCGTTTATAGTAGCCTCTTGTGACAGAATGTGCGCACACTGGAGGCACACGAGACTTGGTTCAGAGTCCCGAGATTACATTGATAGAGAGCTGGATGACGATGCAGGGTGAAGTTGCCAATTCTGAAATCCATTTTGCGGATTTGAGGAGGGTAAATTGACCCTAGATCTGTGCCTCAGAGGGCAACTTGTACCTAGAGCAGTCTACATTCACTGTAGGTCCACTAGTTACATACTGAGTCGAGGCTGGATGGCGCCAGCTGCATTAATATGAGTTAAATTACATACTGAGTCGAGGCTGGATGGCGCCAGCTGCATTAATATGAGTTAAGTTACATACTGAGTCGAGGCTGGCTGGCGCCAGCTGCATTAATATGAGTTAAGTTACATACTGAGTCGAGGCTGGCTGGCGCCAGCTGCAATCAGAGACATATAGTATCATAGACAGACATAAACATTTAGTATTTATTCATTTC